CGGCTGCGCGGAGCGTCACTGCGGCTGCGGGCGCCACGTGAACCGGCCGGGCGAGCGGAGCCCCGGGAAAGAAAGCGCAGCCGGCGCGCAGCCTCCCGCCCTGCGCTCGCCCCCTCGTGGGCCGGGGCCGCCGCCGCCGCCGCCGCCCGCCCGCCCGCCCGCCGGGGCGCCTCCACCGCGGCCTCGCGCGGCGCCGGCTCCAGCGCCCGGGCCCAGCCGGGCCGAGCGAGCCGGGGCCGGGGCCGCCCCCCGGGCTTCCGGCACGTTTCCTCGCCCGGGCTCCGGCCCTGCCGCCCCACCCGGCCGGCTCGGAACTTCCTCTTCTTGCCGCACTCACTTTCCAGTCTCGGGCCCGGACGGGATGGAGGAATTGGGGAGGCGCACGAGGGCAGGGGTGGGGGGTGGGGGGGGAAGGAGAGGAAAGCGAGACCGAGTTTCTGAAGCTACTTGTAAGGGCTGGGACTGACCTGGGGGGTCGGGAGCCGGTGGGGGGTGGGGGGTGCGGGGCACCTCCCACGTTTGCCAACTTTTGTAATGAGGGGGGAGGAAGAGAGGACAGACAAGCAGGCAGGGCGCCTTTAAGATCCACCCTTCCTCTCCCCCCCCCCCCACCCCAGTCCCTTCCCTCCCTCTCTGAGAGGCCAATTTTGTTAATTAAATGTTTTGTTTGCGACGCAGCTCTCATTCATTGCGGACACGTCATTCGGAGCAGATCTAAGCCAGAGACCAGATCTCATTAGATAAAGCCCATCAGAACTAAGAAAATGGAGGAGCCACTAATTAAAGCTTTTAATTGTGCGGATTCGCTGCAGCAAGGCAGCCGCTTTATCTGAAATCTTGGGAGGGAGAGGAGGCAGAAGCCCAGCTCTGCCCAAGCGACACTAGGTCTTGCTGGGAAAAAACAGCACCCCCACCCCTCGCCCCCATCCCTGTCTCCAGGTCCAGTCCCCCCACCCCCAACCCCTTCCTCTTCTTCGCAGCTTTTTAGGCACATTGGTTGTGGGGTGCTTTCTTTGAAAGGAAAGGAAAAAAAGAAAAGAAAGAAGAAAAAGAAAAGAAAGAACAAACTACAATCTCTTAAGTCAGACAATTGAAAAGCCCCTTAATAAATTACTGTGGTCTCAGGATTGTTGAAGGGCCTAAGGGTCCCTTCACCTGGTGACTGGGAGGGTGGATTCCACTGCGCTAGGTGGATGGCAGCGATGCAGGACTGAATTCTCCTCCAACAAGTGGACTGCCTGATTGGGAAGGGGTAGCCTGGAGGAAAACGGCCAGACAGGCCTCCACCACTCTGCCATACCTTTGCCATCTCTATGAGCAGAGAGAGGAACCACTAAAGGAAGAGTTTCGAGATCCTTAATCTGGGGGGGGGGGGGGGGAGGTCAGGCTGAACCCTGTGCAAAGGGAGAAGTTATTGATCCGGAAATCCCATCTCCCTGTGACAGACAAACCTAAAGTTCTCAGGGAAGCATCCAGTTCAAGAGCAAGTCCAGCTCCAGTTCCCAAATTCCGAGGAAAAAAAGAAAGGAAGTGAGAATTCTATGGCCCCAATTAATTAAGGCTCAGGGTTGGGCACACATCCTCCAAGGCTCCACTAAGCCACCAAATGGGCATTTGTATCTGGCCCCAAGAATAGGGAAAGGAATAGAGGAGATTCCCAGGAAGCCACTTGCCTAAATTCATCCTGAGGGAATGCAAGTGGCCCTATCTTCTTTTTAATTAGCGGTAATCAAAAGCGAAGGTTTTTTGAAGGTACTTGGAGAAGAGATGAATCTGCACCATTCACCCTGTCAGAACAGCAATGTCAATTTTTCCACTTCAAACTATTCTCCTTTCTTACCACAGTTTTGCTCTCCAATTACAATCCTGTCAAAGCTCAAGGCACTGCTTGGAAGAAGGACCAGAAAGCACTACACTCATGATCCTGCTGATTTTCCAACATTTACCTCAAAAAGAACACTTAGTAAAATTAATGCTGCTATCTTAATTTAAAAATAAAAGCCCTCACTTCCTGTATTTCTTATACTTGGTTGATTGGGAATGCCAGCAGGAAAATGGACATCGGTTGCATTACCAAAATACCCCAACATCATTTTACTTCATCATTTACATTAATGGTATCACTGGAGTAACTATCCCCACAGTCTGCTCTGAACTGTATTCGGATCTTTTGTAGCATGACATGCTGAGTAAGGAATATAAAAGAGTTAAAAACTAAAGTTTGAGTAAAATATCTCCTCTCTGATGTACCCGCATTGAAGAGCAAATTTTTGTTCCTCACAATACAGGTGACAGTTCGGAGCAGAAATTTAAATAGGATGCAGTTTGTCCTAAAAGTGAGTGATTTTCTAGTCCCAACCGTGTGTGTGCATGTGTTTTTTTTTTTTAATTACTGGATGTTGAAACAGAACACCTCCTAGAAGCATTCATGTGCATCAGTCTATCAAACCATTTACTCAAATTAAATGTGTAATCCTTCAAATGCCTCCTTTCAAATTAATGAGTTTAAGTAGCTTGAGTTCACCTGAAAAGAGCCTATAGGCACCTGACCTCCTGAATTCTTTTTCATTAATTGCACTGAAACTTGTTGGAAAAGACTGCTTACACGGGCATCTGAATGTTCCTATACATTGCTTTAAAATGCAAGATTAGTATCATTTATAGCCTCTTCTCCTAAATCTCTTTTGGGGGATCAAGGGGAGTGATACACACAACAACAAAAAGGGGGGAAAAAAACCCACTCTGCACATTCCTCAATTGAAAAAAAACCTGCCAATTCTCTACCCCAAACCATGCATTAACATAAGACACCACAAAGCCTCCAAGTAACTGTATGTGAAGAGAAATAACACCATAAAGGTATGAGGGAGGTGGGGGAGAAGGGGAAAGGAGATGCCATAAGAAGCGCTACAAGTCTTTAAACTGAGGGGGTAATCAGTATTTTTCACAAAAAGCACAAAGATGAGTCACAGTTTTCCACTCAAAAAAGTTTAAAGGTGCTTATGTAAATGTTATAATTAGCCATCACCCTGGGCAAATCATGCTTCACTAGCTACACTTATTTCTTAAGTCAATCTTTTGTCTCCCAGTTTCTCTTGTGGGTCTCTATCTGGCTTTAAGAAAACAGCCCTAACTCCGACTGGAAATGCTTTTTTTCCTCCGCGGTGGTTCCACCTGGGAACTTTAAATTTTGATTTGGCACTGGAGGGTGGGCACGCCTAACAGCCCCGGTGCCACCAGCTAGCTTCCAGTGCCTAATTTGTCATGACCAAATTAGATCACCACGGGCTCCTGGAAGCCCCCTCCAAGTCGGCGGCCACCAGAAACTTCTAGAGGGAAAAGCTACGATGCGGTGAGCAAATCCTAGCTGTCCGGCTCCATTTCTTAAACCCTTTCCTATCCTTTTGGCCTTCCCCCTGCTTCTGCTCATCAAGTCTTCGGGGGAGGGAGAGAAAAAAAAAAAGCCGCCAAGTCTTACCTAATGTAGTCGTTTCTGCAAAGGATCATGCCGCTCTTGGTGTAGCAGGACGTGCCGATGTCGCCCAGTTGCGCCTGGCAGCAGGAGCACTTGAGGCAGCGGCTGTGCCAGTAGCTGTCCATAGCATAGAGCAGAAAGCGGTCCGCAATCTTGCCCCCGCAGCCTGCACAGCGCTTCCAGGAGAGGGAGCCGGCCGTCACCGGGGGCGGCTGCGAGCTGCTGCCCGGGTTCACCATGGTCTGCAGAGGGCGGGAAGGGGCCAGGGAGAGAAAGACAAAAAAAAAAAAAGGGGGGGGGGGGACGATGCAAAAGTTAGTCTTAGCCGCGCACAAGCCAGCTGGTCTGTTAACACTCCCACCCCTCTACCCCCCCCCCCAAAAAAAAAAGTGCTGGAAGGAAGCGGCAGGGCAGGGACGGCCAGGCGGGAGAGGGAAGGAGGGAGGCTCGCCGGCAGCAGCCGCCTGTTTACTTTTCTCAAGCTTTGTTCTGGGGCCACGAGCTCCTCTCAACTTTCCAGCGCTCGCCGCGGCGGCTGACAATTTCAGCTCAGGGACTGTCAAAACTCCGAGAGCGAGGCTCGGCGGCGCGCTCCACCCCTCGCGGCGGCGCCGCCTCCGCGCCCCCGCCCCCCGTCCCCCGCCCCCCCCACCTTCTCCGCCCGCCTCCAGCAAATGAGGGTCAAACCCACCCACCGCCGCGCCCGGCCCCTCCCCGGTCCCCGCCGGGCCCGGAGAGCCAGCCGAAGGGAGTTGGGGAGGTGGCCCCCGCCGGAGCCACGTTCCCTCGCGAGCTCTGCCCCGGGAAGTGCAGCTGCAGTTTCTGCAGTTCACAAGTTGGAAAGAGTTGGGTGTTCTGAAAGGGGAGGAGGGAGGGGAGGCGGGGGTTGGGGGTGGGGGGGAGGTGGGACCCGCTGAGGGGAGATGGAGAGCGCGGTGTGGGAGGGGCCGCGGGAGCACTCGGGGCTGGGGGGCGGGGGGGAGATGCAGCGTGTAAGTTGCGAAACTGGTTTTTCGTATTTTAAACAGCACCTTTCACATGCCATTGTGGTGACCGCCATCTCCCATTATTGTTCCAAATCTCATTTCATTTTGAAGATCAATGAGTGTTTTCTCTGGGTTTTCAGGACACAGGCAAGAATAATAGATCATTGAACTTTAGGATGCCTGTTAACTTCCTATATAAACACTCTCCACTTTGGTCTCCCTAATCTGCCCTTGATCAGCAATTTAAATGCTAAAGCTTTGTGCTGGGGGGGGGGGGGACGGAGGGGGGGGGGAGAGTTACAGATAATATGCAAGGCACTATTAAAAGGATGCACAAGCTAAATTTGAGCCAGTCCTGCTGTCACCAAAAACTGCTTTTAAAAATTCCCCACTCTTTCTAATGAATGTCACAGGAGAAGCAACTGGAGTATAATATAGGAATCAATTTATAAGGCTTAGCCTAAACCGATTAATTTGTTGCCTTCAATCCTGAGTCCAATAAAGTCCTAGTGTTCCTCCAGTCACTTATTCTATAAAAAGATCAAGTTATTTACTGCCAATTAAGCAGCCTGTTTTGTCTTTGTCCTCTGTAAGCCGAGTGTGGGCTGCCCCCGAGGTTCCTGGCTATCTGCTGAAGACATTCAGCTGATATCTTAGAAGAGAGGGCGAACTTTGCTAGTCCCCGGCCCAACTTGGCGGCTGAGAAAGGAAAAAAAAAAAAAGAACACCGAGGGGAAGGGACCGAAACAGGGATTGGAGTTCCTTAAATAGGCCGATTTTAAACACATTTCCTCCGAAAGAGTCCTGGAACGTGTGTCCAGCGACCGCACAATAAACCAGAATAAGTACTGCACCAATTAAGCTGTAACGAAACCCTGAGACTTTGGAAGCAGGGCCACTCTAAAACCCATTAGCATTGCATTTATCCGAATGCATCATACCTTTATGTAAATTGATTTATCTGATGCATTTACTCGAGGAATTGCTTTTTGTTACAATTTCAGCCCTAACCCAAATGAATCTGCATTTCCTGCCCTCGGTCTTTAAACTGTTTCCCCCAACGTTTTAATCGCTCCGAATTCCTTTTTAAAAGGGAAGAGGGAGGGAGGAGATTCCTAGCTCTTCCCCGCCCCCATCTTTGGTGAGAGGTAAATATATATGTATATTTTTTTTGAAAAGGAAACATTACACTGAGAAAAGCATCCAGTAACCCCATTAGCTAAAGCTCTTAAGGACAAGCAATACCTTAATGCTGATTAAATCTAAAAGAGATGAATCAAGAGGACTGACCAGAAACTGACTCCCCTGATAACTAAGGACGGGCCCTCATCAAGTTTCATTTAGAGTTGGAAAAAAAAGAAAGCTTTTAAGTTAAATAGGCTTATACTCTAGTAATTACATAGCCAAGCAATTTAGGTCCTGGGATAGTCAGTGAAATAGAAAGCAGAACTGGCAGCTAGAGGCAAAATCTGCCCCCCTTCAACAACGTCTCTGGCGTTTTTTAATGGAGACCAAGGGAGGGACAAACGTAGCGCTGGCAATTTGTAGTACAAAAATGGATGCTTAATTCATGTCTTGATTTTAATTAGGTGATTCACCGGATTTCTCCTGGATAGGAACAAAAGACTTATAAGCCAAGGGGATTTTTTTTTAAAGAATCAGCAATAACGAACCCTGCTCACTTAGTCCTTTCTGCCACTGTTTCAAAAATAACTGTTTACTAGAAGAGGGGGGTCGTGCCTATCCCACCCCCCTGCCCGCACTACTTCTCACACTTAAGCCTGCATTTAAGCACCCCAGCCTTTCCCGTCGGAACTGAAAATATCCCCACCCCCTCGCCCCCACCTCCGAGGTCCCTACCAGCTCCGTCTCCAAGAAGGACCCTTTTGTAAGCAGGAACCGCTACAAAGCGGGCGGCCCGGGGCTGCCCTCGGAGCTAGCTCGCAGGCCAGCCTCGGTAGTTTCAGACTCGGGCATTATCTCCGCCGCCGTATTGTTTACTTGCAATTTGGGACGGTCCAGGGAAGAAAGCCAAAGAAAATAGCCCCGGTCCAAATCGGCCCCCTCTCCCCTCGCCCCCCCACCCCCACCCCCCCTCCGCACACACGGACACACACACGCACACACACACCCCGGCCCGCCCGCGGCTCCCCGGCTGTCCCCTTACCTGCTTTTCCCCTATATTGCAATATTGCGAGAGGCGGCGGCGGCGAAATGCGAGCGAAGCCGCTCGGCTTCCAAAGAAGGGGCGCCCGGGCTGGCGGAGCTGGAGGGAGCAGGGGGGCTGGGGGGAGGAGGTAGGAGCGGGGTGTACTTCTCGCAGAAGCAGGAAAGGGGAGGAGGGGGCTCAGGGCTGCTTGCTTATTTTTTTTGTTGTTGTTGTTTGTTTTTTAAACGCGTGGCTCTGAGGCTGAGATGGGGGGACCCCCGCGTTCTAAGTGGCAGGCGGCCGGGAGCCGAAGTGTCAGTCTCAGTCCTCGTCCTCCGCCTCCGGCTCCGCGCGAGCAGCTGCAGGAGCCCTCGGCCCGCGCGGCGCGGCTGCAGGCGCGGCGCAGCGGCAGCAACTGCTGCAATCGCGGCTGCAAGTTTGGCAATGTGGCTTCACTTTGTATATTGCCCCCGCCCGGCGCCCCCGCCCCCGCCCGCGCTCCGCCCGCTCCTCCTCCTCCTCCTCCTCCTCCTCCTTCTTCTCCTCCTCCTCCTCCTCCTCCTGCTCCTCCACCGCCTGCCTCCCTCCCGCGCGCCCGCTTGCCCGCTCCGGGCTGGCGGCGGCGGCGGCGGCGGCGGTGGCGGTGGCCGCTCGGCCGAGCTTCCTGCAGCGCCAGCCGGGGAGCGGCCGCGGGAAGCGACAGCCCCGGGAGCGGCGGGCGGGCGAGGCCGGGCGGCGGGGAGCCCCGCGGAGCTGCAGATGGGCCGGGCCCGGCGCGCTGGAGCCTGCGCCGCTACCGGGGCTGGCCGCGGCCGCTTGCTGCCGGGCTCGGAGGCGGTGGCGGCGGCGCTGGCCTCTAGCCGGCTCGCTCGCTCCCTCCGCGGCGCTTCCACATGTGTTACTGACAGAGCCGAATCCCAACTACTCCCCGGCTCGGCGCCGACGTCAGCGACCCTCAGCCACTGGGCGGCCGGATTGTTCAGGCGGAATAATAAAACCTGCCAATCCGGGGAAGGACAAAGGGATGACTGAAACCAGACTCGGGGGGCGGGGGAGCGAGTGCGGAGGCCGAGCCGGCCGGCCGGGCCGGGAGGAGGGGAGGGCCGCGATCAGGTGGGGGACCAGGGGATCCGGGGCGCCGGGGCCCCCCCCCCCGCTCCTCGCACCCCACCCCACCCCCGCCGGGGCCGCTGCGCGCAGCCGGGGCGCACGGGCTGGGGGCGGCGCACCTGCCGTCTGGTCGCGCGGGGGACCCCGGGGACGCGCATCTGCTCGCCCCTCGGGGATTGTCCGCCCCTCGCGCCCGCAGGAGACCCGCAGGAAACTTCCCGTCTAGCTCCGAAAGGGTTTTTTTTTTTTTTTTCTTTTCCCTGCTCAGGGAAGGAAAAAAGGCTTCCCGAAATCTCCGGGCAGAGGACTTGGCCCCCACGCCGAAAGCCGCGGGGCGGAGGGGAGGGGGCGGGGGGGGGGGGTGCCGCTTTCTGGATGTTTTGTTTTGAAATCCACGGCGTAGAAGGTGTCTGAACCATCGTGGAAGTTTGAGTTAACGGGGTGAAAAACTAAGAGAAGCCGTAGTCACTGCCTAAATACTGCCGGCTTGGCCCCTCTTCACTCCCAAAGCCCGAGTATAAGCCTGGAAGGAATTGCATCGCTAGTTATTCACGGTAATAGTAGTGTGTAAAAAGCCTACAACTCTTATTTTCAAAGTCTAAGGCAGAAAGCCTCGCCCTTCTCTCTACCCTCTAGGAGAGGGTGAGAAGCCGTGTGTCTTACGGTCCTTGAATGCAATGAAAGCCACGGCGAGATGCACCAGCGCAGGCTCTGGAGTGTAAGAAAGGTCACATCCGTATAAATCAAGTTTTGAGGAATGCTTTTAGGGTGCTAGCCGGGAGTCTCCTTCCAAGAACCAAAGTTCAGCCTAGATGCCTGGATACCTACTCCTTCAGCTTTTATCTACTCTGCCAAGTAGTTTGAAGAAATGCCCGATCTGAGGCTAATATTAGGTCTGATTATTAGTGGTACGTTCCAGAGACATATTTTTTTTCTGGTAGAAATTATCATGAAAGTGCAAAGACCTTCTGATGAGTATCATGAAGTGAAACCAGGCTTGTGGGACAAGTTTTCATATTGTGTTACACACGCAGTGAAGCTAGGTAGTAGGAACCCTACACGCAAATCTGGCCAGACAAGGCAGATGTTAACCGTCTATGGTTTGGTGTCTGTTTGGGAGATTTCTGTCTTTCGGACCAAGCAAAGCTAAGACTACAAATAAAAGAAAAATAAAATAATCATTTCCTATACTATAAAGCTGAGGACATTTTAAATGCCAATTAGAATGTCCTTTTACAAATCTCTATAAGATGACATCAATTGGTATTTAAAGTTTCATTTTTATGATCAAGTTACTTTGTGCTCCCATGAAAAAACATTTTTTAAATCATTAAAACTAAACAGTAATTAAAATGTCCTGTACAAAAACCAGCTGTAGA